AATCATATTATCATCTCAAAGGATAAAAAACATAACAAAATTTAACTTTTGACAAAATTCAACCCACTCATGCTAACTCTGAACAAGGTAGGAATAAAAGTGAATTTCTTCAATCAAATAAAAGGCATGTACCAGGCCTAGGATTTAACTCAGTGGTGCTGCTGCCTGCCTGGCAAGCACAAGGTCCTGATTTCAATCCCGGGTACCAAAAAAAAAAAAAGTCATCTACCCCCAAAAAAACCTACAGCCAACTTCTTACATGCTGTCTATGTACTAAATGTTCTTGATAAATATCAGTAACAAGACAAAGACGTCTGTTTTCTTATCACTATGATATTCAACAATTTTCCAGAAGTTCTAGCAAGTGTAGTAAATCAATGTAAAGAAATAAAAGTTACACAGATTTGAAATAAACAAGTAAAACATTATATATTTGCAGATGACTTGATTCTTTACAAAACAAAGTTGAGAGGGAAAGATTTACCAAAAATCAAAAATTCTACTAGGATAATAACTGGATTTAGAAAGGTCAAAGGGTACAAAGTTGATACATGATAATCAATAATATTTTATAGTCTAGCAACAATTGGAAAATGAAATTCTAAAATATTACTAGCTAATATTTTATATATAATTTTTTATATAGTGCTTCTAGGTAATATTAGTGGGTATTACGATATGGGAACCAAGATTGTGATGCTAATGTAAAAATGGAGATGACGCCCAAACCACCACTAATTGGGAAAGCTAAATTTCAGCCCCTGGAAGACCAGTGCCTTTAAGAACATTCCCCTTTGCAGTTCAACATAATGCCTATAGTTAACAATATAGTGTTGTGCACTTAAAATATTTTGAGGGGATAAAGCTCATGTTATATGTTCTTATTACACACACTTACCAAAAAAGAAAAAGCAAAAATAGACATAAATATTTGGAGGTGATGAGTATGTATTTTACTTTGTTTGTGGTGGTAGTATCACTAGTGTATGTATATATACATTCATCAAACTGTATACATTAAATATGTGCAGATTTTGTATATCAATTCAATTACACCTCAATAAAGCTGAGGAAAAAGGAAGAAAAATATTCCTTTATTCACATCAAAGAGAATTAAGAAAGTAACAATTCCTGGGATAGCATGAAAATGAGGAATTTGCATCTTTCAGAGACCATGGATGATAATGAAGTCACTTCTCAAGAGCTGAATCTTCAGGCCTGTACCACATGCAAATGTGTGATTTTAAATTACCTCCTTGGTGGCATAAGCCAAAGCTGATATACTGAAATAGAAATGTTCCTGTACACTGGATCCTCTAGGACTCTGGTACATGAAAAATACAAAGAAACACTGTTAGGACATTTATAGCACATGAATCACAGAAACTCCATAATTAAAATCTATAAAATAAAATGATCACAGCTAAAAATAAGCACAAATAGAAAAAAATTCTAAACTGCATATATAAACTACTACAAAAATAGTATACACAATGAAAAATTCACAAACTGAAAATAACAAAATAATCTAAAATAGTGACAAAATATA